GCCCCCCGGCTTCCACCGCCCGATAAGGATAATTTTATGAAAGGTATTTTGTATATGGCAAGTTGGCTAGAACTTGAAAAAAAAAAAGAGAGGGTCTTAAGCTTTTCTAAAAGCTAAACAAAGAATTATTCTTCCCCTTTGTGTTAAAACATGGTTTTCTGAAGGTATTGATCTACTCTTAGAAAAGAGCAATCATAAAACAATCACACTACAAGAGGGTTTTCTTCACATTTTGGTAAGTTGCCTATGAAATGAGATTTGTGTGCTTATTATTTTCATTTAAAAATAAAAATTATACCTAAATAACCTGTGATTATGTATTGAGAGGATGATTTATATTTTTTAAAAGAATTATTTAATTGTATTTATTCATTCATTAATTTTAATTTGACCAGAGAACGACAGACACACAGAGAAAAGGAAAGTGAGAAAGTAAGCCACCAGGTCTGGAACTCAAACAGTGGTCGACCAAATGGGAGTGCCCAGTGCCTTAACCACCACGCCACTGCTGGCCCTAGGTTTTATATTTTTGATAAGCTTTCTTGGGGTCAAATTCTTTTTTTTTTTTTTTTGAGAGGTTTTCACTATAGGGCACGTGCGCTCGCCAGACAGACAGAGAGAGACATAGAGACAGAAAGCGAGAAATCACCCCCCAGGGGGGATGGTCACGCCGCAATCCCTTCTCCTCCATTCTCCTCTTGGGATCTTGGGCACGCACGCACACGCGCCCAGCATGAGTTTTTAAGCCACCGGGTCCGGGACGTGAACCGTGGTTGACTACGTGGGAGTCCAGCGACATAGCCATTACGCTAACTGCTGGTCCCGTCTTGGGGTCAAATTCTAAACTAAGTATTACTGATTTAATTGGGATTTTCTAGTTGGGACCCTGTAAAATCTCAAAAGACATACCTCTTATTTAAAAGAAATGTAAATTGATTAAGGTTATGTAATATTTTAACTTATATAAAGTCATGGTAAATATCCTTTAAGATTATATTTACATGAATATGTTGGTGACATAAATGTTCTTGAGATTATTATAAATAGTCCTAATAGTACAGATGTGATGTTGTCAATCATACATTCTGGTTATCTTTAAATGCCGTATGCAATAGAAATACGTGCATTCACTTTGTCAGTTACATCATTATGATAATGAATAGTCATCGAGTTATTAATTATGACCATTTTAAGTTTTTGTCATCCACAGTTCAAAATTGCATCATGTGAAAAAGACTGTAACAAGTGCTCTTGAAGGCTTTAAGATAAATGATTTCAGGCAGATCTGGCCTGAACGGCAGGCACTCCCTCTAGGCCTGCTTTGTTGCTCAAATGTGGCAGAAGTGGGTTTTTGACCTAGTTGTCAATCAAGTCCCTCTGATGTGGGATGGCAAGACCAACCACTAGGATAAGTCCATCCTGGCATCAAGGGACAATTAAAGCCACATAAGATGATTGATCAATAATCCTTACAGAAAAGTATCTTGATTAAGAGGAAAAAAGTTTTCTGAAAGTTTTACAGAATCCAAATACAGTCATTTGTGTCAAACGTGACCAAACTGAGCTGGGGAGGTCACAGAGAAAGTGTTTTCTTACACTTGCAGGCCTGAAAACAATAAATGCTGTTTGAGAAACTCTTCCCCATTTGCAGTTTTTGTGTTTAAACCTGTCAGAAGTTTAAAAAAAAAAAAATCCTTCATGAGCTTGTTTGAAAATTATGCAGTTCTCATTTTTATGTCCAAATGGATTCCTTTTTACATGCTTTACCTCTTCAGGAGAGCAGTAAATGGCACATAAACTGGGGGGCCAGCAGATGGTGAAGGGGTTACGTCGCTGGACTTTCACATAGTTCCAGTCCTGGACCTAGTGGCTTGAAAACTCACGCTGGATATATGTGCATGCATGCCTAAGGTCCTGGAAGAATGGAAGAGAGGGGACTGCAGAATGGCCATCCACCCTGAGGGGTGATTTCTCACTTTCTGTCTCTGTCTCTCCAGAGAACACACATGCCTTATAGCAAATATATAAATAAATAAATACATAAATTAAAAACATGGACTTTGCTCCCTCCAGCTCCTAAAAGTTGCTAAATGTCAAAAAGTCTCAAGTCTAAATGACAGTGGGAGATTAAATGACTGATATATATATGAGAGGTTTTTGCTATAGGGTGCATGCGCTCACCAAAAAGACAGAAAGAGACAAAGACAGAAAGCGAGAAATCACCCCCCAGGGAGGATGGCCACGCTACAATCCCTTCTCCTCCATTCTCCTCTCTGGATCTTGGGCATGCACACACGTGTGCCCAGAGTAAGTTTAAGCCACTGGGTCCAGGACTCAAACCGCAGTCGACTCCATGGAGTCCAGCAACATAGCCATTATGCCAACTGCTGGTCCCAGTGATTGATTTTTAAAAAGAGGTTTTTGCCATAGGCCATGTATGCTTGCCAGAGAGAAAGACAGACAAAGACAGTGAGAAAGAAATTTTTCTCATGCTGGGACTCAAACTGCATAGCCAGTCATGGGATCCAGCTGCCTTCACAAGCAGGCCACAGAACCAGCTTCCCACTTCTTTTAAATATTGTACTGGGTATTCTAGTGAGAACAATTAGAAAAAGAAAATCCATATTGCAAAGAGAGAAGTAAAACTCTTATACTTGCATATGACATGATCATACATGTAGAAAATTACAAAGAATCCATACAAAGAAAATACTGTTAGTGCTAATAAATCAGTTCAGCTGCACTATAGGACAGAAAAGATCAACACAGAAAATTTAACACACAAACCTCTATACCCTAGCAATTAATAACCCAAAATTACATTAAACAACTCCTTTTATAATAGTGTGGAAAAGAATGAAATACTTAGACATAAATTTAATCAAATAGATAGAAGACTTTACACTGAAAACTACAAAACAGTATTGAAAGAAATAAAATATCTAAATAAATGGTAAGATATTCTGAGTTCATGGATTAGAAGACATTACTGTTAATAAAGCACTGTCCAGGGTCAGCAGGTGGCATGGTGGTTAAGGGGCTGGACTCTACATTGCCAACTGCAGTTTGAGTCTCAGACCCAGCAGCTTGCTTTCTCAGTCTCTCTCTCTCTCTCTGTCATGAGCACCCCATAGCAAATTAAAATAATAATAACAATAATAAACAAAATTAAATTTAAAAAAAAACTTTAAAGAGATTAAAAAAAAAAAAAAAACCACTCACATATCACTTGGGCTGCCACAATAATGCGATTTGAGTGCTACTTGCTTGATGACTTTTATGGCCCAGGCCCAAAGCAATACTGAGGAAAGCAGAGCATGTCCTGTGCAAGTTCCAGTCCCTCAGCCTCTTTGTACCTTCCTTTTTTAGTTTCCTCATTTTAAAAAAATGGATGGGCCTTTTATTCCACGCTATCTCTGTCCACTCAGGCCCACTCCTACCTCTCAGGAGTATACTTTTACTTTTACTTAATAAATTACCATTTCATTTAAAAAAAAAAAAAAAACGGAAAGAAAAAGAAAAAGGAGAATGGATGACTCTTAAGGAATCCCTTTCAGAATTCAGACTGGGCTTCACTCAGCTAACCAATAACTGTACAATGTTTTTACACGTAAATAAATTTTACATGTGTTCAAATTGATTTCACTTACATCTTGTATAAAAACTGTATCCCATACCAGGCCTGAAGTGTTCCAAAGCTCAGTTCTGTGATTAAATTACAACCAACATTTCTAAAAAAAAAAAACAAAACAAAAAAAAAACATAAGCCAAAGAAGTAGAAATATCATTTTTTTAGAACATTTATCATTTGGCAGTGATTCTAATTTATATATGATAAAATATAATTACTTTCTCTGTACACTCCAGAAATCTCACCGTGAAGACACAGGCTTACAATTTCCACTTGCATATTTACACATGTGATACATTAGATCTGAAACAGTGAATGCTCAATAAATACTTGGGTTGAATGATCTTTATTCCTTTAAAAACAGAATTTCAAAGCTTCAGGACCTCAACATTTTGATCTCGGTATCTCTTTGTTGTACAAGTCTGTCTTCTACATAGCAGGCTGTTAAGCAGCATCCCTGGCCTCTGCCTAGTAGGTGCAGTAGCACACCCAACATGTGTGACAACCCAACATGTCTCCAGGCATTGCCAAATGTCACCTGGGTACCAAATCACACCAGCAGAGAACCATTGGACTATAATGACTTACTCTGACCTGTGTAATAATTCTTACACTGATCTTTGTTAGAGATGAAGAGGATTTCTATGTAATTTTAGTAACTTCATGCTGGTAAAATTTTAATAATATTTTTAGAGGTTTACAATTAAATTTTATAAAAATTTCAAGTATAATAAAGTTATAATGTTAACTTAAAGTTCAAAAACAATAGTGACTCAAATGTACGTCTCTCAATCGACTGTAAGATAAATCTCGAAGAAAAAGAGAAGGAAAATATTGCCTTGATTAGCTATTACATCTAATTAATAGAAATAACAATAAAGTTTAGAATTGATAATGACTACATAGTTTTGTCTGAACTTGTATTTGAGCTTTAAAGAGCCCCTAATCCTGCTTATCCCTCTCCTAAGAGTCTCACATTCTTGATCTTCATAAATAAAATATACAACTACAGATCTTTTTTTTTCTTTTTTTATTTGCATTTTTCTACATTTACTTTACATATCAAAACATTTTTGTTCATACTCCATAGTTCTTGACAATTAAACAATTTTCAAAATTTCCAAAGAACTGAATTTTAAAGATAATATTCAAAATATTTGTTTTAATTTTGTTTGTGATTCTATAACAACAGAGACAGTATGGTTTTAAATATTTTTGAGAAAATATTTACATGTCAACTACTCATACTGTTGCAAAGCAAACACCCAGCACACAGTTCACATATGAATATTCTTTTTTTATTTAAGTTATCTAGCTAATTTTCATTGTTTTTTTTAATTTATTAATTCACTTTACACCATCACAACACACAAATGAATTTTCCATCCAAAATACACTGTGCATTGTCTCAATCAAGTATATCCACATATATGTTCTCAGCAAATAATTTTCCAATTCTTACGTCCTGCATACCTTGCCCTTTGTCTTGCCATCCCTGATTCCCCATCCCCCACCCTCTGCTATGTCCCACCTTCCCCCCCCTTTATCCCTGGCATCCATGGTTGCCCTCCATACCTTCCTCCCCTCCCCAATCAATTGTTCTGCTAATGAACTTAACTAGTCTAAATAAATCCATTAGCTAGCACAGCTGACACAAACCTACACATGTATCCTAGTCTGACCCTAGGCATAAACCCCGGTGAGTAGAATGAACATACTATAAAGTAATACCCAGCTGTGCCCATACAGGTCGCTGCCTTCATCAATGTGCATTTTTTTTTTCCTCCTGCAACTTTTTTTAAATATTATATTACCTAACACTCATCCCCTGAGCATCATCACAACATTCTAAATGTAGTTTCCCATCTAGGACAAACTACATAGTGACTTAATCAAGCATGTTATCATCAATAATATTCCATTTCTACTTTCATACCATGTATACATACATATATGTTTTTTATCCTATCTTTGACCCTCTGCCCTTTCCCCCTCTCCCATTACACTATCTCTGCTATATACAGTCATCTTCCAGGGGTACCATTGAAAATATGATACCTGTAAGCAAAGGGGGAAGGGCCACAAGTTTAGTTTTCACCAATAGGGATCGTAGATTCCATTTCATGGTAGATCAAGGGTGGGTCTCGTGCGGATCC